CACTGCCTTCTCTTTTTCTTCTTTATTTGCCCCAAGTGCTCTCTAGAAGTGCCCAGAGTAGCCTCCCTTTGCAAGGGAGGCCGGTAGTTTCCAGGAGGGCACTGGCCCATGTCCTCCCTTGGGGACATCCAGAAGGCCTGTTTTCAGCTCCAGCAGATGTACAGCAAACAGACCTGACTGCAGCCTGGGAGACCTAGGTCCATGAGAGACTCGCAGGGAGGCAGCTCTGGGGCAGAAATGGACACTGAGCTGCCCAGGGGAGGCAGGGGGAACCGGGAGCAGGATGTGTTGCTGCTCTGGAGGTAGCCGGGATCTCTCCCTGCCTCCCCCTGCCCCCTCCCCACCCCACCTGATTGTTGCCACAGCATGGGGTGGACATGGAAGCAGGTAGTGGGAGATGGAGGGCACCTGCAGGGCAGAGGAGGCACCACTGCAGGACAGGAGTTGCTGCCTGGGGGCTGGGGGCTGGGGGGCAGGAGTGAGGACCACTGGCAGGGCTATAGGTGTGGTTTGGGGGCAGGGGCTGTGCACTGGTTTCTCTTGAATGGGGCCGGGCAGGGGGTGCAGAGACCCCAGAGAAAGATGGGGAGGGCACCAGGGGGTTAGTCTGAGTCTTGCCATGGAAGGGGACGCCGGGCCGTCGTACATGGTGGCAGTGCCCAGGGGCTCTGTGTGCCCTGTGGGGCAGGAGATGCAGCCACATGGCTGCAGGGCCATGGGTAGAGCATGGGGGAGGAGCTCTAGGGCTGGGTGGGGGCACTGGAGGAGGAGCTGTGTCCTATGCAGATGCTATGGGGGAGGGCAATCAGGGCTGTGGGACCACTTGAGGGACCATAAGGGAGAGACCTGGGCCAATCTTGGTGCAACGCAGGTGCCTACAGGTGACAGCTGTGGGGACGGGTATTTCTGGAGTGACCTCAGTCCCCACAGCTTGTGTTGGGGCAGGATGGGAAGTGAGGCTATCCCCGAGGCTGCTCTCAGTGTGGGACGGTGGGGACATCAGAGTTGGGCAGACTTCAGTGCTAGGGCAGGGTCCTGGTCCTGGGTCTCCCATCACATGGTGAAGTTTGTGCTGTCTCCTTTCCCACAGGCGGCTCCAGAGACTGGACCCTGTTGGCAGGTGCTGTGCGTGAGTTCAGGGAGAGCGGGAGTCCAGGCCCCAGGCTGGGTGAGCCCTCTCCTGGTAGAGACAGTGGTTGCTGCGCTGGAGTCTGTAGCAGCTGTGGACCTTCCCTTTGCAGCCATGGTGAAGACAGAGGGGAAGCTGGAGGAGCAGGACCCAGGAACTCTCCAGACAGGAGATGAGAAGACGAAAGTACCTCTTGTTGTCCATGCTAGGACTGGGGGGGTGTCCCCAAGGTGGTCGGCACCACAGGCAGTAAATCAGCAGCTGGAGAAGCTGGTCCAGCACCAGGAGATCCAGGGGCAGGAGGTTAATCAGGCCATGCAGCCCCCGCCTGAGGCCGAGATTCCCTCAGAGACCCCAAAGTTGGCATCAGGAGATGATCTCCCTACCCCAGAGACCTGGCGCCAGCGCTTCCGGGGCCTCTGCTACCAGGAGGCCGAGGGGCCGCGGGAGGTTTGCAGCTGCTTGAAAGAGCTCTGCTGGCGCTGGCTGGAGCCGCAGAGCCGCAGCAAGGAGCAGATCCTGGAGCTGGTGGTGCTGGAGCAGTTCCTGGCCATCCTGCCCCGGGAGATGCAGAGCTGGCAGTGGGGGCACAACGTTGAGACCTGCACCGAGGCTGTGACCCTGGCTGAGGGGTTTCAGCTGGGACAGGAGGAGGGTGAGAAGCTCCAGGTGAGGGTGTTTCCATCCTTATATGCTTGCACAATGCTATCCAACTTCCCCCATCCCTGTCTTGCACAGATCCTGGCTCCCCAGTGACATATTTATCTCATTCCTAGATCACGATGAGTGTTAAGGTTGAAGAGGTGGCCTCGGACAAGATGCAGCCCACTGGGGCACTGCAGAAACATGCCAATTCCTGGCTGGAGCAACCCAAGGCCTATCATGCAGACAGGCCTCTGGAGGAGGCAGGAGAGAGGGAAGCCCCAGGGCCCTGGGACAAGCCAGCTCAAGTCCCCAAAGAGGAGTCCCCACCTCACCAGGGGTCAGGTAAGGTACAGGATGGAGGCCCGGGCTTGGGTCTGGGTGACAGAGTGGCCATCCTGCATGCAGTCGGAGATGCTTGAATAGCTGCCTGTGCCCATGACAGGGCTGCAGTATATGTAGTCACATGGCTAGGCTGGGATAGAGCTGTAATTTTTGTGGGTGGGCAGTTCCCAGGCCAAGGACCCCAAATCTTTCTCGGTGCATATGTGAAGCATCCAACAGAAAGAGGGTTTATCTTTCTTGGGCCTTGTTGCACTCCCATGGTAACAATCAATGTCGTTATTCGTGTTCCAACAGTCAGTGTTCAGTCACCCCTTAGTTATGCCCCCATGTGCCCTCTGTGTCCTATTAGGTACTGGTGAACGTGACTGGGAAATCAGAAACCCCAGTGACTTCTGCCTCATTCTGGTTCAGTTAAACCAGGTCTGTGTTTTGCAGATTACCCCAAAACGGAGGAGACTTGGGAGTGCTCAGCTGACAAAAGCTGCTCAGGCTGGTCCCCAAGACGAGGCCCTTCCCCAGGAGCAGGTAAGGAGCGCTGGCTCGACCCTTTCCCACAGCAGGAGGCAGCGTCCCTCAGTGGAGAAATCTCTGCCACAACATTTTGGTGGGGTCAGTGCTCCAAGGCATGTGATGTTCTTTCCCAGTGCCCCTGGAAGCCAGGAAGTGTTTCATCATGGTCTCGGGCTGTACTAAACAGCTCCTTGGCATGTGTGGGATTCAGAAGATTTCAGAAGTTGTTGGGGGAAATGAATACCCCATGCTTTGCATGAGAATTGCCCCCTTTCTGTTTTGTCTCTGGGGCCCTGAGTGTCACAAAACCTGAGACTCAGCACAGAGTCCCGGTTCAGGTTCCTGCCAAGGCCTTAGACCCAGTGCAGACTCCTGTGACATGAAGGCCACCTGGGACCCGTCAGCAAAGGGAAGCTCCATGGACCCATTCCCTGCACCAGACCTTGCCCTGGAAGCAGGCAGGAAGCCCAGGCCTGCTCCTTTCAGAAGAAGGAGCCACAGCTCTAAATCCTCCCCTCCTGCTCAGCCCATTAGAGCATGAAGCCATTCAAGTACTGTCCTAAGGGTTTTTTTGTTGTAGCTGAGTTGGTCTAAGGACATAGGTAGGCACGGTTCTTTGGGTAGACGTGATATCTTGTATTAGACCAACTAAGTAGCAGGAAAAATGTTTTTTGCAAGCTTAACGCACATGTCCCACATCTCCTTTTCCTAGCATGGCCTGAGATGATGGGGCAGACAGTTGGTCTGGAAACTAAGAGTCTGGTTCTGAACTCCACCAAGTAGGGAACATTAGCCCGAGACAGGCAGATGCCACTCTCTCACCCCCAGCGCTTGGGGTTTTGTCAGGAACACCTTGTTTTGTTGAGGCAGTACAAGTGCCAAGGTCCAGGCCTGATCTGAAGTCCATCCCAGCAGAAGGAAAAGCAGCATTTTCTCTTTGCCAGCAGGGTAGGGACTAATCTGGAATTTTTCTTTCCCATGCAGGAGGTGCCTGGCTGCTGAGCAGAGCTGAGGAGGAGACTCGTGTGGAAGGGCCTGCAGACCTGGAGCCAGCACGGACTTCCCTAGGGAGTTTGGGAGAGAAGGAGACTTGGCACAAGAGTCATGAGAGATCCCAAAAGCAGAAGGAGAATGTAGCAGTGAACCAGGTACCATCTGTGTTTGGGTGTGAGGGCGGAGAAAGAGCCTTGCATGCAGGGAAGAATCTGTGGAGCTGAGACACCTAAAGAGCCACTAGAAAGAGGCACTGCATGCAAGCAAAGGCAGTGGGGAGGCCTCAGAGGGAAACAGGAGCTCATTGCCAAGTACAGGGGCAGCACCCATCCCAGCCCCAAGTACAGGAAGGCCTTTAACAGCCAATCACTCCTGGCTCTGCACAAGATAAGGCACAATGTGGAGAAGAAACATGTATGCACCAAGTGTGGGAAGAGCTTCACCTGCCTCTTGATCCTGGTTGCTCACCGCCAGATCCATTCTGGAGACCTCCCCTACCTCTTCACCAAATGGGAGAAGAGCTTTGTATGCCCCTCAGACATGGCCAAGCACCTGCATGTGCAAAATGAGGAAGCATCAGTACTGCTGCGTCATGTGTGGTAACGTTCACCTATTTCTTTTCCCTGTCTCAGCTCCAGGGCATCCAACGGGGGAGGAAGACACACCGCTGCACTGAGTGCAGGAAGAACTTTGTCTCCTGGCAAGACCTGTCCCAGCACCAGTGTGTGCAGATGGGGGAGCAGCCGCATCGCTGCACCAGGTGTGGGAAGAGCTTCAGGCAGCCATCCAGCCTGGCCAGGCACTGGTGCATGCACACAAGGAAGAAGCCTCATAAGTGCTCAGAGTGTGGGAAGAGCTTCACCTGCTCCACCAACCTGACCCAACATTGGCTCATCCACAAAGGGGAGAAGACATATCAGTGCTCCGAGTGTGGGAAAAGCTTCACTCACTCTTCCCGCTTGGCTCAGCACCAACGTATCCACACAGGGGAGAAGCCACATCAGTGCTCAGACTGTGGGAAGAGCTTCAACCTTTCTTCCAACCTGACCAGACACCGGCTCACCCACACAGGGGAGAAGCCGTATCGGTGCTCAGAGTGTGGGAAGAGCTTCACCCAATTTTCCCACCTGGTCCGGCACTGGCTCATCCACACAGGGGAGAAGCCATATCAGTGCTCAGAGTGTGGCAAGAGCTTCAATCAGTCCTCCTCCCTGGCTCAGCACCAACGTATCCACACAGAAGAGAAGCCATATCAGTGCACGGAGTGTGGGAAGAGCTTCAACCTGTCCTCCAACCTGACCAAACACTGGCTTATCCACACGGGGGAGATGCCATATCAGTGCTCAGAGTCTGGCAAGAGCTTCACCGAATCCTCCCACCTGGCTCAGCAGGTCAGTCACACAGAAGAGAAGCCACATTGGTGCTTGCAGTGTGGAAAGAGCTTCACCCAGTCTTCCAGCCTTGCCCGGCACCAGCTTATCCATACGGGGGAGAAGCCACATCAGTGCTCAGAGTGTGGGAAGAGCTTCAAACTGTCTTCCCACCTGACTGAACATCGGCTCATCCACACCGGGGAGAAGCCACATCAATGCTCAGAGTGTGGGAAGAGTTTCACCCGATCCTCCCACCTGGCCCGGCACAAAGTCGTTCACACAGAAGAGAAGCCACATCGGTGCTCAGAGTGTGGGAAGAGCTTTGCCCAATTCTCCAACCTGACCCGGCACCAGCTTATCCACATAGGGGAAAAGCCACATCAGTGCTCAGAGTGTGGGAAGAGCTTCAGCCAGTTCTCCAACCTGGCCCGGCACCAGCTTGTCCACACAGGGGACAAGCCATTTCAGTGCTCAGAGTGTGGGAAGAGCTTTGCTCACTCCTCCACCCTGTCTCAGCACCATCTCAGCCACACAGGGGAGAAGCCACATCAGTGCCCAGAGTGTGGGAAGAGCTTCTCCCGATCCTCCAACCTGGCAAAGCACCAGCTTATCCACACAGAGAAGAAATCACATCAGTGCTTGGAGTGTGGGAAGGGCTTTCCCCACTCCTCCAAACTGGCCCAGCACCAGTGCATCCACATCCAGGAGCATTCATAATGCTGCCAGCAATGCAGGGAGGGCTTGGGGACATCTCCCTGTTCTACAGCCTCCAGTGTCTGTGTCTAGGCAAGCAGCCCCATGCTAGTGGACTGCAGCAAGAGTTCACCCATCGTTCACCCATTTTAGGGCAGTGCAGAACCCAAAGGGCACAGAGGCTGGCCTCCAAGGTTTGACAAGGGGGTGGGGGTAAAAGGAAACACCTCAGGTCAAGGCCAGTCCAGCTGCTGGGGGAACCTGTGAGGAGGTGATTTTTGCATCATCCTTGTAGCCTGTGCCATCCCCATCTTTCTCTAAAAGCAGCCAGTGCTCCCAGGGGGAGAAGAAGTGCCTTTACAATAGGGTGCCCTCCCTGAGACAACTGGCCCCAAATGACACCCAGGGACTCACTTTGGCTGACTCCCAGCTTTTTCTTCCCTCCTGCTCCCAGGGTTTTGGTACATGAGACTTGTGAGTTGCAGGAAGGAGGACATTTATGGCTGGGGAAGCATTCCCTGCTCTACACCCTGACCTTGCCTTTCCTTCCCACCACATTACCCTTCTCCCAGCCCTGCACATGCCCACTGAGTCTGCAAGAAGCTGCTATTGCCACCCCATGAGCCTAGTTTAGCAGGTTTTGCTCTCAGCCCCTTGTCAGAACTCTGCACCACCAGGTGCCAGCTGCCCCCTCCCCTGTATTCCTTCCCTTCGTGCCAGTCTGTATAACACTGTAAAGAAGTGAAGGAAAATGCTTACACATTTGCAGCAAGAGGAGACCCACCGTTCTTGGTGGAATGGGCAACAACGTGAGATGAGCAGCTGCAGCAATTTATGAGCAGCTCCTCAATCAGGCTCGGCCCCATCCACGGCATCACAGGTATTTCTGGCCCACTGTCAGGGCTGGGGAAGAGCAAGGAGAGCCACCGGACAATGGGGGAAAGCCAGGGATGCTGGCATGCCGTTGAAGGAGCACCGGACTGGGGAACAACGGTGGAGACAGCTCCTGAGAGTCTGGAGGGGATCTACTAGCCTGAGTGCCACCACAGAGACTGCAGCGGCAGCAAACATGAGGAGTACCTGCCGGGATACATGCTGAGGGAGAGATGCCATTTGGAGTGCCAGCAGCACTCCTCTAAGCATTTGTATTTATATTCTTCTTTTCTTTTTCTTTTCACTCGCCAGGTCTCAGAACCCAAGAGGCTGGGCTGCAGCCCTGGGAGCAGGAGCAGGACCCTGCACGCTGGCAGGGGAGCTGACTGCAGGCTCGCCAGGAGGTGAGCTATTGAGGGCTGGCAGACAGACTCATCACACCTGGGGAAAGTGGCAGGGGCTGCTGAAGCTTTTAGGTCAGATGCCAACCCATCCAATGTTGGGAAACACCTTAGCAAGGTGGAGGGGATCATTAAGCCCTTTTCTTTTCCTTTGTCATTCTCTTTATTATTTTGAGGAGGGCTGGGCATTTGAGAAAGACCCGCAGCCGTAAGAACTACATTTTCCCAGGCTGAGGGAAGAAGTCCATAGCAGCGACAACCATCTCGGCCAAGACTTACCTGAGTTTCTTTTATCATTTGAGTTATCTTCCCTTCTTTGTCCACTGATCAAATGGTGACCAACTGATTGGAGGATCGGCATGGTAACAGCCTCTGTAAGCCAGGTTGAGGACGTGAATGGAGCGGCTGGGGTAAAGAACAGCCAAGGATTGCCCATTGGAAGATGAGAGCACAACAAATACAATAGCAGGATGCTAGGATGGGATGTAGGGGAGGTTGGAGCCCCAAAGAAGAACTGGACCAGATACCAGACCAGATACATCCAGAATTATATGCAACAGAAGTTGGTTACCTCCTGACTAAGACAAGTTCAACATTAAGGCACAGCAGGCAAGAATTGGGTAACCTACGTTGAGTGTAAGAACTGGGCGAGTCCGCACCCCAATGGCACAGTCTCACAGGGTGCAGAGCCATCAGACCCCATGGCCCTATCCTATGCTGCGCTGACAAACATATTCCTTGCTAATCAAGTCCCACAACTTAACATGGTATCCCTGTGGTTGGTATCTGTGTTGTTTCCAGAGTTGGGAAATGGGAACACACCAGGGCCCAGAACCCTGTCCAGGGCAGATATTTCTGTGGTTTCCTAGCCCCTTCCCTTTTGAGAAGATTCAGCGCAATCCAGGGGTTGTTTCTGACCCTCAGGAGCAGGAACTTGTCCCCCTTGAGGCATTAAACCCATGTCCTGCTGTGCACCAAGGACTCTGCCCTTTTGAATGAACCTCTGGCCAGGGGGAAGTAGAGTCTCTATTCTGGGTTAAATGGGGCAGTATGGGTAAAGGAGGTGCAGCCCATGACAGGTGCTGCCTCTTCTGTGGAAGGGTGGGGAAAATATGAAGCCATTGTATGGGTGAAATGCAGCATGTTGTAATCTCTCATTGGGAATAGTGGGGCTTCCATCCTAATGCCAAAGCCATCTGGCTCCATGACTGTCCCGTAGGAGCTGCTCCAAGAGATTAATCACCCATCCTGGGGTACACTTATTCATCTCCATAATTGTCATTTCTGCTGATACCCCCCAGTGTATAAAAATGCTCTTTTCTTTTCCCTGTATTACAGTGTTTAAGAAAATAACCTCGAGACTTCTGAATGAACCTGTTTTTTGGCAGGAGGGCTGGTTTGTCTTGTTGTTGGAGGTGGCCACAGAAAGAAGAGAGGGAATGGGAGGTTTTTTGACACATTTTGAATGTGCCCGTTACTTGTTGAATTTTAAGAGGCGATGGAGGTTGGAGTTAACATGTGTAGGTGAGGGAATGTCTCTCAAAGGAACAGAAATCCTAACCACCCTTTTCCCACAGGGGAGCATGGCTGCATTTCAGTTAAGGTCCCCTAAAGTCTCCTCACAATGCCTGACTTCCAAGCCTGCTTCTTGAATGCAGCTGTGACTGTTTTTTTGTGACAGAGTCTTATGCAGAAAAGGATGGTGCTTTACAAAATAGATGCATAAGCATTTGTTGTTAGGGCCCTGAGCATGGTTGAATAGGAGCACAGGGAGGCACCTAAATCCATCAAGGTCCTGATGCCTGCTTCTCTTCCACAGCAGCTCCAGCAAGTGACTGAAAACATGGGAACGTTCATCTAGGACCCTGGTGATGAAGGCAGGTTTCCACTCGCACCCATGGCCACAGCCATATTAGGCTCCAGCTCCTATTACATGATGGCATTCCCACCAGGATAGATAAAGCTAGCAGATCTTCCCTTTTATTCATAGATTCATAGATTGTAGAGTCGGAAGGGACCACAATGGATCATCGTGTCCGACCCCCTGCCCCTGGCAGGAAAGAGGACCGAGGTCAGATGACCCCAGCCAGGTGACTATCTAGCCTCCTCTTGAAGACCTCCGAGCTAGGTGATAGCACCACCTCTCTTGGAAGCCCAGTCCAGATCCTGGCCACCCTTACTGTGAAACATTTCTTCCTAATATCTAACCTAAATCCACTCTCAACTAGTTTACACCCGCTATTCCTAGTCACTCCCTGGGGCGCCTTAGTAAACAGCGCTTCCCCTATTCCCCGTTGACCTCCCCTAATAAATTTATAGGAGGCCACAAGATCTCCGCTCAGCCGTCTCTTGTGAAGGCTGAAGAGATTCAGCTCTTTCAACCTCCCCCCGTAGGGTCTATCACAAAGGCCACTAACCATGCGAGTGGCCCTCCTCTGGACCCTCTCCAGATTCCCCACGTCCTTCTTGAAGTGCGGCGCCCACAACTGGGCACACTACTCCAGCTGCGGCCAGTGCCACATAGAGTGCTGCATAGAGGGGGAGCATCACCTCTTTTGATCTATTAGTCATGCACCTGCTAATGCACGACAAAGTGCGATTGGCCTTGTTGATGGCCTCGTTACACTGCC